TGTTTACGTTTCTGGAGCAAAGATGCCGAACAATTGAATCCGTAAATTTTGCTATGGCAAGCTATGCCCCTAGCCATCAGGTGGGAAAAACTAGAGGAATTAATACAAGTAGATCGTCATTTATCGCCACTACTTGGAAACTTGTCCCCTGCATTACGGCTTAGGGAAGCAAAACGACTTGCATTGTGCTTGAATTGCCTAAAGAAAGGCCATCAATTGCGATCATGCAGCTTTGGATGATGTCGGACCTGCGGGGCGAAGCATCATTCCCCGCTGCATTTAAATAGTTCTGGTTTTCCGTCTGGTCAGTTGACTGCGCCTGCTGATTCTTCGTCAATTGCCCACGCCTCTTTCGCTAAGTCGTCGCCATCTACCTCCACCTCTCTTGTTGCCCAGTGATAGTGATGTTGTCCTCTTGGCTACTGCTATGGTGTTCGTTAAAAATCGCTCCGGCACTTTGATACCTTGTCGTGCCCTTTTGGATTCCGGCTCTCAGCTTCACCTTATAACGCCTCGCCTTGCTCAACAGCTTCAGTTAAAGTAGCACGAGTCCCCAGCCATTGTCTCTGGTCTGCAGATCCGTCTTTCTTTAAACCACAACGCGTGGACTTGCTGCTTGGAGCTAGTTTGTTTTATGAGCTTCTCAGCGTCGGCCAGATAAAGCTTCTCCCAGGGCTACCATGTCTTCAGAAAACAAGGCTTGGTTGGGTAGTTTCTGAAGGCGGATCGCGTTTGGGTGGTTCTTCATTGATTGCGAAGCATACTGCGGGAAAACTTAAGTCAAGTTCCGAATTAAGGACTCATACCAGACTGTCTGGTGGCCAATATTCGGTTCATTTACCCTTCAAGCGAAGCTTGGAATGTCTTGGGACGTCATACCAACAAGCCTTTCGTCGGTTCCTGACCCTGGAACGCAAACTACAAAATCGTCCAGACCTGAAGATTCAATATTCAAATTTTCCGAAGGAATACTTGGATCTGGGTCATATGTCGCCTGTCGCTCCAGAGTCCGTAGGACTTTGTCAAAATTTTCTTCCTTATCACTGTGTCTTTAAAGAAGACAGTTCAACGACAAAGTTGCGAGTCGCTTTCGACAGCTCAGAATTTCTGTGGAACAAATTGTGGAAACAAATTGGACTCGCCAGCTTCTTGCTTGCCAGAAAGTCCAGAACTCGAGCTAAGAAAAAAGGTCCGTGTTACATCATCTCCCTTCGTTGATATATCTGTCACTTGTAAATACGCTAACTCATTTGATACAATGCAGCGTATATTCGCGTATATGGAAGGAAGACCGTATCCAAGGTAGTTGGCAAATGTATGGGATGCTTTCGTACCAAGCCACGATTAGTAGAGCATATAATGGCTGATCTTCCCAAAGAACGTTTGACTGCTTGTCGGGCCTTTGAAGTCTCTGGCGTTGACTATTGTGAAGCATTTTTCTATAAGCCAGACGTACGTAATAAAGCTCCAGTCAAATGCTACATGGCTGTCTTCGTCTGCTTCGCGACTAAAGCAGTTCACCTGGAGCTGGTCAAGGATCTGTCGACGGCTTCATTCTTGAATGCGCTCAAGAGGCTTATATCGACTCGAGACAGGCCATCTCATATATGGTCGGATAAAGCTACCAACTTTGTCGGGGCCAAGAACGAGCTTCTGGAACTCAAGCGTCTTTTCATCAGTCGCAATCATATTGACTCAGTGCACAAGTTTTGCATGGCTGACTCCATTGATTGGAAGTTTATTACCCCTCGTTCGCCGCATTTTGGTGGCCTTTGGGAAGCAGCAGTGAAGAAAGCGAAGCATCATTTTTATCGTGCTGTCGGCTCTTGCGTTCTTAACTTCGAAGAACTTCGCACCCTAGTCTGCCACATAGCATCGATAATTAACTGCAGGCCTCAGAAGATCCAGCAGACCTAGATGTACTCACTCCAGCTCATTTCTTGATTGGTGGACCCAGCTCATCGTTCGTTGAGCCTGATGTGATGCACTTTCAATTCAATCGTCTGGATGGCTGGCAACACGTAACACTTCCAAAAACTGTTTTGGTCCCGCTTGCGCTAAGAATATTCAACGCTGCTTCAGCAGCGCTCCAAATGGCGTACTCCGAAACCAGGCCTAAGTGTCAACGACCTAGTCCTCGTAAAGGATGCAAATCTGCCGCCTCTAAGGTGGCCACCAGCGAGGATCATGGAGCTAATCGTGGGAAATGATGGAGTCGCTCACGCTGCCATCTTGCGCACCGTATCAGGAGATATAAGGAGAGCTGCAAACAAGCTGTGCCTACTGCCCATCAAGGACTCAGTTGAGAGTCCATGCCTTTCAACGGGGGGAGAATGCCTGGCTACGCAGCCAAAAGAGCTGGAGCGACCTCGCCACTGATAAGAGCAGCATCGTCTTCTTATCTGGTAATACTTGCTCTGCGAAGCAACTGCTTAAGATTATTTACATTAAGCTGGCGCTCTTCGCTGTAACGATCATTTATTGCCCTCACATTACCTTTTGCGAAAGTTAGTTAAGTTCGTTCGCTTCGTGCATTTGGTACGCAACTGCCACTTGCACTATAAAAACATATTAATTTGTCCACATAATGAGCAAACTCTAATTCAAATATTTTTTAGTTAAGCACCGTTAAAAAAATATTGCCACCATTCGGTTGAAAAATATTGAAATATTGCCACCATTTAAATGTATGAAAATGTTAAATAAAAACTGCCAGTGAAAAATAGAAAAATTAGAATTTCTACGATTGTCAGGACGATTTTCTTGATTCCAAGAGCAAAATGATTGATAATTCGCGGTCTATATGATACGCTACGGTGCATTATCGGAAAAATGAAAAAATATATGTTGAAATATGGCCACCATTTTAATGTATAAATTTGTTTAATAAATATTGCAAGCTAGTTTTTTTTGCAACAACATTGGCTATAATGAAAAACATAGGAAAATGGTAATTTCTTTAAAACTGGCTGGACGATTTTCCTGATTAAAAAGCAAAATGATTGATGTTAAACTACCGATCATTTAGGGCCATTATCGAAGACAACCATTACTAGGATGAAAAATATGTTGAAATATTGCCATCTTTTTGTTGTTATACTGTGTATAAATACATAAATGCACTGTTGCCTTATTAGCAGCAGTCTTTTTTACCAACAATAATATTTTAATTTAAAGTGCCAATTATTTTAAAGACTGTGAGGCGGCTACTGAGGTCCGCCGCCCCACAGTTTTTACGGCGAGGAGCCATCGTTCCCAAGGCCAAATCACGGCAAGGAGCCGCTGGCGGGACAACCCAATAATTTGTTTATAAGTCTTAATGGTACTAGCTATATAAGAGGCAAGAAGCCGCCAATGTTACAAGTTGTAGTTATGTTAGTTATATAAGAGGCAAGGAGCCAACAATAGTACAAGTAGTTGTATTAGTTATATAAGAGGCAAGGAGCCAACAATATTATAAGTAGTTGTACTCGTTATATAAGAGGCAAGGAGCCGCCAATATTATAAGCCTCAGTTGTATTAGTTAAATTATAATCATCAAATGTATTAGTGAGTAAAGAGGCAAGGAGCCAAGAATGTTTTAAGAGCGAATTTGAATTTAACCGCCGGCCGCCGCTGCAACCGTGCATTGTCGATCGGCTGTTCAACACCGTCTTCGAGAGCGCAACTTCAATTCGGCGGCGAAGAGCGAAAGCTCCGAGGAGAAGTTACGAAAGCTCGCGGCGAAGTTGAGCGGCCGAGGCAAGCGCATGGCTCGCCGGCGAGCGCGCCGGCACTTTGGAACGAACGCTAAGGGTGAATAGACGTGCATCGCGAGACGAGAAATCTCATAGAGTGTATAGCGGAGCGCTAGGGCTCCAAAAACAGTGCGGCATGGTTTAGATCGTGAGTTACTATAAAGTAGTAATAAGCAAGAAGTGAATAAAGTGCATATGTTGTAATTATCGAGAGGAAACTGGCTAGTTCTTTGTTTTCTGGTAACCCGGCTTGCCTTAACATCGGAGTTAACCGATGTTCGACCTAACCTAGAGTAGGAGCATGTGGTACGGGATTGTGGCCCCGGGGTGGGCATTACTGGTTGGTGTTTGGATAGAGTAGTGGTACGAGGCCACGGCCCGATAATGTAGTTGGTGCGAGGCCACGGCCCGATAGAGTAGCGGTACGAGGCCACGGCCCGATAGTGTAGTTGGTGCGAGGCCACGGCCCGATAGAGTAGTGGTACGAGGCCCCGGCCCGATAGGGTAGTTGGTACGAGGCTACGGCCCGACAGTGTAGTTGGTGCGAGGCCACGGCCCGATAGTGTAGTTGGTACGAGGCCACGGCCCGAAGGAGTAATTAGGGTGAGGCCACGGTCCGGTAGTATAGGTGTGCAGAAACCGAGTTAGGCATGGTTAGGTCAGGATACTCACCCCCCTTCCCCCTTAAGCCCTCTCTCCCAGCGAAATTATAAATATCTTGTAACTCGCTAGACCTGGTAAGACTGAGAGTTATACCCCGGCCAGTAGCTTCTTTACAAGACTTAAAAAAACTGGTTGGTCAATTTGCTTAAATTTGATGCGTAAGGTATTGAGGGCCATTATCTCTAAGAAAAAATAATAGGCTTCAAGTGCAAGGCTAATTTTTTACGGTCATTTTGTATGCTGCTGCACTGTTGTACAAATATCTTTGAAATGTGCTGATCGGTTTCTATAATTTTTTCAAGAATGGTTAGGTGCAACTATAGGCTTTAATAGTGTTTAAGAGGTATTCGGGGCCATTATCCCCGAATTAAGATATTTGTTACGAAACTGCTTGTTTCTCTTTGGGCCGCGCCGGCAGGCTCATCGGTTTTCTGGGTGTAGTCTCATTTCTGGCCCGCAGTTCGCACAATCGATATCAACAACTAGAACATCTGAAGCAAAACAGACCTACACTACACTATCCAAAACGAACTACATAACCGGTATCGGACCCAGCGTACCCGCCCTTTCTGAGACGATCACCTGATCTCGTCTCCCTCATTTTGGCCACTAGATGGCCTTCATCTGCCCGTGTCGGCAGTAATGCCCCCTCTACCCATCAATGGATATTAAGCCGGACATCGTTTTCCTTCAGTATGTGCGTATGATTGGTTGCATTTCTTATAGTTATTAACGATCAATATCTCTTATCTCATTTATTATTACAGGATATCCTCACTCTGCTATTTATGATTCTGTGCAAGCTGACATTTCTCTCATTTCAACAGGTGCGTATAATTATTTGCATTATCTTATAATTATTGACAATTAATATTAATTTCTAAAATCTCATTTTTTAGAACAACAACAAAGAAAGGGCTTCACTGAAAGCTTTTGCTAACCGCCGCTGGGAACCTCGTTGAAAGGAAAATTTATATATGTATCTTAATTTGTGCGATTGACTCTCAACATATTCATGTTCGTATATACTAGGGATGATTGGTACCGTTATTTCTGTGTCACAGTGACAACTGTGACAGTTACAAAAAAATACCAGTGACAAATAATAGCGACTGTTACTCGACTTGTGGGCGCGGCGTTTCTTATAAAAAAAAATCTATATAAAAAAATAAACAAATAAAATTTAATAATGTTATGCTCTATAAAAAATTTTTTTTTTATACCCTGAACCCATTAAAAATGGGTAAAAAGGGTATAATGTATTTGTGCAAATGTATGTAACAGGCATCGCCGGCCCCATAAAGTATATATATTCTTGATCAGCATCAACAGCCGAGTCGATCTAGCCATGTCCGTCTGTCTGTCTGCCCGTCCGTCCGTCCGTCTATCCGTCAGTCCGTCCGTCCGTATGTATGAACGCAAGGATCTTAAAACTCATAAGAGTTAGAGACTTGAAAACTGTAGGTCCTCCTAGTCCCCGCGCAGATTGAGTTTGTTTCCGATATTCGATAGCTTGCCCCATTTCCAAGTAATTGATATCAAAATCCTGTTTCTTGCGCAGTTATGGTAAATAATAAGAGCTAGAGTCGCCAAACTTGACATGTAGCTTCTAGAATAGTATATATATAAAAGTATCTTTCATTTTATAGCTCATTTTTTCCTCATTAAGACTCAATAAGGTAGTGCAGACTGCTGCACACAAGCTCATAAATGCTTCTATTCATATACAAAATACGCAAGAATGCGTGAATAGCAAGTCCAAAAACTTTTAAATGCACACATGCCAACGCTTAGGTACCCTTTCGAACAAGAACGAGCTAAAATTAAAGAATTTCGCATTGACTTGGCAAACCCTTTCATTATTTCATATTACTCGTCCCGTCAAAAGGGAAGAAATGCCACCGACTTTTGAGAAAAATTGAATTTGTGGGCATTTTTGCTTGTGCGGACACATATACACACAAACATTTAAACGGTACCTAGACATAAAGAGAGCATTGACAGCACTGAGAGTAAATGCGAGCGAGAAAAAAATAAACAGCGATGCCGTTCTATCGCACAAATCATATGGAAGAGAGTAAGCCAAAGCAGTTTCCTGTAGTGTAAGCGATCAAAAGACATCATATGTATATCTTACTCGCTCGTTGGACCAGATGCACCGATATTTTTTGTGTCCACTTTGGTAACACGGCATGTCCCATCTATAGTGCCAGTACTCAGCTCTTCGAAGAGGCACAGTACTCAGCTATTTGAAGAGTACGAAATGAACAACCTGAGTACAGAACCTGTTATTAAGACTTCAAATATACAACAATAATACGCAAGCAGCAACAAGACAGCAACCCCAAAAATTAAAAAACTGCAAGTTTTTGAAATGTATAAAATATGCTGAAAAGTTAATCTTACATTATATTAATATATATATCTATAACATATCTATAACATTGTTCCAGTCATTTGACATATCGTCGTTACAATCTCTTGGTGAAATTTTTGGTGTCAATCTTTTTAGTAAACAACGACCAACAAGTAGACCCTTGCTTTACTATTCGTGAACGACATAGGATGATTTTTTGTCGCTGTTACTTTTGAAAGGTGTAACAGCTGAAACTAGTTTCTTTTGAATACAAATGGTATGATGGAAATATTCTTACATATAAAAATTTATACGAATTAAATCGCATAAATACACTTAGCCTACCTAAAGAGCTCTCTGGTGTGTTAAGGGCGATGTAAGTAAATGATTTTTTTTTATATATGTTGATATATGTATGGATGGTGTGGAATTCAAAACAACTTTCCCCACTTTTTTCTTTCTTTTTTTAGGTTTCCCTAGCATTGGCCGTAGCCTTTGGGTCCTCCGCTTCCTTGGCAAGCTGTTAAATATATGCATGCCCTTTTTCAAATAAAATATTAATTTATAGAGAAGGCAAAAACAAACTATTCTTAATCATACAACTATCTCTTGTTCTTATTTTAGCAACTCAAATGGGACCCAGAGTTGGACCGCCCTTCGGGCTGCCTGGTCCCTGCCTCTAGGATGGGGTGGTAAAACGCTCTTGGAACGGACTCACTCGATACAGTGGGCGTGGTCTCGCCGGTGGCCGCTTCTTTGCCTATCCTCCGCCTGTCTCCGGTGATAAGTGCGCCGTTGAGAAGTAACCTGGCCTAGGTGACCTGCAGGCTTCCCTGGTTCGAGAGCTGCTTAGACGGCCTGACGTCTTCCGTGGGGATACTTCGTTGCCGGAACTGTCTGTCGTTTTTCTTTTATTTGTCAGCGCAGCTTTTATTTATGTGTTTCGTGTCGCATGTATGTTTAAAGCTTACATTTCAATACCTCGGCACAACTAATTTTACACGGGCTATTTGTTTTGTTATTGTTCATTTTGAGGCTGGGCTGAGTACTAAATGTGCTAATACATTTTTTATGCACGACACGTAGTTGTTCTTTTAATGTTCCACCACGAAATTATACACTCGTGTGTATTATATATAAACGATAAGGGACGTATTATTTTGCCAAACTTTTCCAGACGTTTTCTAGCAGGTCTCGCAAGATATAATATATATAGCCTTAATTTTCGTTTCGAGTGGCCGAAAATTATAAAACGGTGCGCTTGCGCACTACCCGACCGTGTTGTACCGCCTCTCAAAGTCGTCTCCCTCGGCTTTACATTTGCCCTCTTTCGTTCCCCTTTCGGCGCAGTGGAACAGCAAGCCGAGCGTTGCCACTCTTCAATTGATTGGGCGCCACTATGTGCCGACTTCACCCCCGATACTCTGCCAATATGACAAAAAGATATCAGCGAGGCCGCAATCAAAACAAAATAGAATATCGACGCTGCCGATATTGTCAAATGCAACATATTTTAAGAATGGTGGAAACATTTTTAACTTGTTGGTTTACCCATATTACAAGCTGATATTAAAAAACAATGAATATAAACAGTAAATAATTTATTTTTTTGTAACTGTGCATTTAAATATTTTTGATTTTGTGCTTAAGAACATAAATAAAATCATTTAAAAGTGAACGATTCCTTTTTCGATACCAAGTACCAATAATCGACGCTAAGTTGACGCATATCGCAAACGTGACGCTCATGAAAATTCAACCACTTGTACTCAAAATATATATAATTTGGTATAAATCTTTTTACTCACCATTCGTCTTAAAACAAAAATGAAAGCAGATTATAAAAAAACATATAGGAAGTTAAAATGGCGCGTAAAAAACTACCTATTAGTAAGTTGATCGAACTAATGTGTAAATTAATATATATATGTACATATGTATGTATGTATGTTAACAAAGGAAAAATAAATATACCAATAGCTTGTTTATTAAATATTTGATCATCTCTCTATACATCCATGTTCACCTTTCAAAGTGAATAATGACTAAAGAATGTGCCGATCCCAAAATGTATCATATTCAACCAGTTTTGCCTGATAGCTGACTGGTTCAAAATCAGTATGAAAGTATTGTTTTGTTGTTGTTTTTTCAAATCTGTAATTAAAATTATAAGCAAAGCAAGAAACTGGATATATTTACCCCCCTCTTAGACACATGATTTCCGGTTTGAAGGCATGCAAAAAGAATTATGAAACAAGAAAATTAAATTGTTCTATACAAAAACTCATATTCACTCATCCTATAAGAGTTTGATATATGTATGTAGCTATCCGATATCGAACATACTGAAACTAATAAATGCTGACGGTGGTCAAGATACCTTGATACACCAAAACGTTTTTCATACAAGAAGTTAATTTTTGACAGATTATTCCTATGTTAGTTAGTGGCCAAGTTTGATAAATGTATCTTAATAAACAAAAAGTTTTTAATACACGAACCTACTTTTCGACCAATCGTTATAGTGGTCTAATGTTGATGGAACCAAAAAAGTTGATCATACAAGAACTTAATTTTCGATTAATCGTTTCAATGGCAGATAATTGTGATACTCGTCCACATTAATGAGAATTGTATCATATACATATAAGGACTACAGTGAAATTCAAAATGCTAACTTGAGGCGAGACATCTAGATAAACAAAATCGATTTTCATACAAAAACTACATTTTTAATTTTTATAGCAGCTACATACATATATGATACAGTTATCCGATCCTGCCTGCCCGAAGCATGCACCTATTCAAAGTTCCATGGCGATAGCTTTATAGCTGATACTTGTTACAATTATACATATGTATGTACATACATATATGTACGTATATACTTCATGGAGTCGAAGATATGTATCTCCAATGAGTTACCGTTTTCATGACAGAATTATACTACGCTGTACACACATATAAAACGCTTTTTCTTTAAAGTATACAAAAGTGGACAAAAGTATTTTGACAACACTGCAAAATCTGAAACAGCTTATTTCTTCAAACTGAGAGAAGTAATGGTATCCATTCAATTTTAATGAGAGAGACTATATTAAAAGCTTTAAGAGAGTAAAAGATTGGACTGATAACGTAACAAATTTATTTTCTGTTATTATCTGCGTGGCAGATAATGATTTTTTGGCTGGACAAAAGTATTTTGACATTGTTTTTCATACATATTCATTTTCGATAATTCGCTTGCGGTACAAAACACGTGCTATTATTTTGTAAGTGATTTTTCTTGTCTTTATCAATAATTACTGCTTGATCGCATTTTTTGTTAAATTATGGGAAAAACACGTGAAATAAATGAACTTATTAGCAATAAAATGGTCACTAAGTATAATCACTAACCAAATAACATATAGACCGGACAAACCGTACTTTCGATGGTGACATTCGTTATTTATGCGGCTGGTCCAAACTCGCCTTCGTTTTTGTTCGGGTTCGAGACATGCCCGCATGCTCTCAGAGCAAGAGAGTAAGAATACATATGGCCTGTGTCGGGGAACGGCAACGCTGTCTTTTTACTCGCTCACTCTACAAGAAACTGCTGTGGCTTACTCTCATCCATATGGTTTGTGCGATAGAACGGCATCGCTGTTTTTTATCTCGCTCCCACTACAGGAAACTGCTTTGGCTTACTCTCAGTGCTCTTTCAATTTGTCTATGTACCGTTTAAATGTTTGTGTGTGTATGTGTCCGCACAAGCAAAAATGCCCACAAATTCAATTTTTCTCAAAAGTCGGTGGCATATCTTCCCTTTTGAGGGGACGAGTAATATGAAATAATGAAAGGGTTTGCCCCGTCGATGCAAAATTCTTTCATTTTAGTTCGTTCTTCTTCGAAAGGGTACCTAAGCGTTGGCATGTGTGCATTTAAAAGTTTTTGGACTTGCTATTCACGCATACTTGCGTATTTTGCATATGAATAGAAGCATTTATGCGCATGTGTGCCTGTTAGTCCCTGCCTGCCTGTCCGATACAAATTTGACAATATTTTGGGACTTCTGAATTTCGAGCTCTACACACACACACAGAGACACAAATGTGTGTGAATGGGCTGATCATGGCACGCGTTTGATGCGCGCCCTTCTTTTTTAGATTTTGGGTTTGAATTGTTAAATGAATGTTGACCCCTTATAACCTGCAGCAGCCCGTTGGGCCGAAAGGGTAAAGCACCTGCACCTGCATATGAAGGTCAAGTCAGTTATCTTTTTGCTACTTATTCCGTCTCTTTCCTATACTCTGACAATGACATATTGGCGTATTAGCGACTTCAAACTTCTTGACGTCGCTTCGTCCTCATCAATGTATTCAACCTTGCTGTTGAATTTTAAGATACATAAGTTTGTTGATGGCCTAAGTGAGGTGTCATTATCGTAGGTTAATCCAGTGTGTAATTGAAGAGACCGATTTTTGGATTTGTTCTTTCTGATCCATGAACCTATCCAGGTATTGAAACCAGCGAATCCGTTTTATAAGCTCAACTGTTATAAAATGAAAGATTCTTGATCAGTGTATATTATTATAAAAGCAACATGTCAAATTTTGTGACTCAAGCTCTTAAAACCTAAGAGATTTTCAAAAAACTTAACTACTTCTTCGCTACACAGCTACCTTAATACTGTGTGTGTTGTTAGGTACTCTGCTGCAGTACTTTGTAAAGCTGATTAAAAACTTTATGATCTGTCTTTTGATATCATTCCTCTGGCGCTATAAAAATGGCGCTATATCTGAAGATGAAAGCAATTGAGATATTTCCACATTTTTTGTTATTTGCCAAGTCCTTGCTTTGCATCTTTAATATTTTAACATCCCAACATATGAAGCCTAGATCTGCAACCTCTTGAGATAACTTCGCTAATAATTTATGGTTTTAAGAAAAAAATGCAGACTTTCGTCATCTATATTGATGTTAGTGAACAAAAAATTATGCCTTCTTTGTTTTTAAGTAAATAATCTCAACTGAATCTAAGAGTATTTGAGTAACAGAACTCAAAAGGTTAATTTCAAGAATTCATATTCTAAATATATCCAGTATCTCTTTTCATCAATAACCTTCCCTTGATATTTACTCACCTTCGAGTACTAATGTATGCCGATAATGTAAAGCTGTGCATTGCTTTCTGCAATCTATTACAAGCCGAATAATATTATCTAAGGGTGATTAAAATCTCAAATTCTTCCTCAATTTCATCCTGACTCTTTATTTTAAAAAATGCCAAACTTTGAAGATTCGAAGAAAATGTTTAAAACAAAGCAGGCTTAGAAAAATAATTTTTACACTTCACTCAGCATTTAATAGGCAGAAGGAAGCAACTCCGACCCCATACATTTTTTGTCAGCATCAATAGTCGAGTCGATATAGCTACATCTGCAAACATGTCCATTTGTCTTAAATACTAAATGAGGTAGATTTAAATTTAAAATGTAGATCCGCCCGCACAGATTGTCTCTTTTGAATTTTTTTCAAAATTGCATCAACTGAATTTAAAGAATTTGTGATTATATATGCAAAACCAATGTTGCGATATTACCGTATAGTTAGTCATAGGGCTGTAACTTTAGTGTACAAAAAAATTAAAAATAGGTAACCATAGAAAAATGTTTATTTTTATTTTTTGGGCGCTCACTTTAACACTAACTAGGTGACTGTTTCAAATAAATATGCGAAACTTCAACAATATTGTTTCTCACCCCTGTATTCACATCATTGGCGAAATCGTTGAAGATATAGATGATTTGTTTGTGGAATGTTTTATAATTGCCGAGTCCAAGGTTCAGGCATATCACCCAAGTAAACAGCCAGAAATGGCTGTTTGATCACATATATTATTGCATCATCGATTAGGCTCACCTGAGTTGGGCGGAAGAAATTCCAAGTGCGAATTTAGGAAATAGATGTTTATTTAAATGTTTGCTTCAAATTTTAAACATTTTTGTATTAATTTTTGACGACTTTAATATAATTCACACAACGGAATAAATTTCCTCATGACCAAAAAATACGCTATATGTACGCTATTTTTTACGCCTTAACTTATGTCATTAGAAAAGTAGGAAAACAGTATTTATATACACTACTGAAAGCTTTTACAGCGATAAATTGGGTGCGCAGCAACTCGCCAGAAATCCCGTTCATCATGGAATAACGAAAAATTTTGAAAATGTGAAAGGAAAAACCTTGCTTATGAAACATTTTTAGCAATCCAATTCAGCTTCTGGGGGTCCTAAATCTATGAAAAATATTGGTTTCACCAAACGCTATTATAAAAAATTGAATTCTATAGCATAGTGTAATCCGTGTACATATGTTGGTGATCACCGCACACCCCAAATCATGATTATTAAGAATATTTCTGATGTTAACAAACATCATATTGTTGATGGTGGAACCAAAAACTCATAATGTAATTGCAAAAAAACCCCTTCTATGCAACTTAATTTGTACAAAATTGAGATCAGAAAGGAAATCGGAGGACTTGCACGTTCACAACTCAAATAGTGTGAAAAAAATAAAAATTGCAATACTGGTGTTTAGTCGGTAGAAAATCTGTATGTTTTAAGCAGAGGACATTATTTAAAGTCATTAAAACTTTTGTGCCGTCTCGAATCGTTTCTCAAAATACAAAATAGTAATAAGAATGGAATAAGAATAGTAAAAAGAAATAATAAGAGTATTGTTAAATAGTTCCCAAATTACAGAATAAATTATGTTAACAAATACATCTCTAACTAAGT